TTAAGTTTAAAACACATAGCTTTTTTAAAGGGTAATTATTGCCCCAGTAATAAATTACAATAGATTAATTCTATTAAATATCAAACTAGGATTAATTTTCAAAATGTTTTGACTTATTTATATGTAAATGTTAGAGTGTCAAAAAAAGTAAAAAAAAAGTAAAAAAAAATTTGAATTAACCTTAAACATTTTATTAAAATAGGTTTAATTATACTTTATGTTGCTTTTATAGCAATACGTATTTAATGGTCAATATGTCTGACAAATGTTTGATTTTACAAGTTTCTCTCCTCCTTTATGTGCGCTGAACCATAAAAATTACAAATAATATCAATGACATTATTAAAGAAAAACAGTTGATCTAATTAAATTTTACAAAAAGTAAGATATATTTGTTACAAAAAGTAAGATTTGTTTATTACGTAATATTTGTAAAAGAATTTATTTTTTATTTTTTTAAATCTCGCTTATATTTTAACTTATTTGAATATTAGAAGAAAAATTTATCCAACGATACTAACAAAATAAATAATGTAAATATGTTTTTAATAATAATAAAATAAGATAAGAGTAACTAAAATTTTAATTTTTTTCTTAGATTTAATATTTATCTTCAGCAGTGCATTATTTTTCTGTAATTATGTTATGACATGTTCCGTGAATATCGAAAAATGTTCAATGTTCAAAATACATGTTTGAACATAATCTTGAATCGAGTTCTTAGAACGTTACATATATTCCTAATTACACGGAAGTAATTGTAACAAAAACGTTAGGAAGCCTGGTCGACGCATTCCGTTCTGTCGCGATCTTAATGTATCTTATCCATCCGTACATTGACCTACCCCAACTGGGGAAGAGGAGGGAAGTTGCACCATTGAGATATTGCTCAGCTGCAGCCGCGTCCCTTGAAGGGCTGTGCGTTACGTCATCGCTCATGGTCGACCGTAGTTGGCACGCAGCTTCGCCCTATGCAGACATCCGTGTCTGATTTATACATCCTACGGGTTCAAATACTATTCGGCAATATGAATACTAGAATGTTTCTTTCGAGTTTGAAAATTTAAAAAGAATGATTTCTCTAAAGTAAAAGTATCAGTTTTGTAATAGTTTGAACTACACTTTTGCATTTAGTATTCTCGAAATTAATATAATTAGACCGTACATTTCTTTATTACACATCTCATTTCGTTATTATAATAATTTTTAAATTTTATTTTAAACAATTTCTGTCCTTTAAACTTTAAAACTTACATAATAATTTATGTACATGTTTTTGGAAAAGAATTTTTTATAATGCAAAATATTACATGTATATTAAATAATTAAGTCATAGTGTCAATCTAGTCATATATTATTTCAGAATTTTATATCAAGCAAAGTCACATATGCTTTATAAAAATTTTAAAAAAAAAAATTCAAAATTTTTAAATAATTTTATTAAAATATAATTATAATGAAAGCAGAGATTTTTCATGTGAAACAAGCAACTAGTTTTAATTATTTTAAGTTTATTATCTTAAGAAATCATCTAAACAGAAAATATATTTAAAAAAATAGATAAAATTATATATATATATATATA